TTACATATTCATTAAATAAATAACGAAAATAATTAATTTTTGTTGTTTTTTTATTTATCTCACATACAAATTTTTTGAAAATATATATTAGGAAATATGTGCAATGGTTTCACTTTTTGAGCTCTTAATCTATATTATTCAAGCCTCATTAAGCCACCCACGTAGGTAGGGTGCGTGGGATTCACTTTTTTTTTTGGTCGGTTCGTTTTTGGATTCATTTTTTTATTATTTTTGGGTTAAATTATATTATAATAGGATAGTTTTAAGACTCTTTAAGCCATCCGCGTAGGCAACCGCGTGAGACTTGCTTTTTTTTTTATTGTTTGTTTTTGCATCCATTTTTAACTATTTTTAGTTTGAACTCGTTAAGCTTTTTAGGGTTTATCCAACTATTTTGATCTTTAAAACAATAAGTCATAAAAAAAAAACATAAAAACCTTACAAACAAAAAGTCCATATGATAATAACCCAAATAAAAAAATCAAAAATAAATGATGGCTGCGTGGTTTGAATCCATGATCTTGCATGCTTAAATAGACACTTTATACCACTTGGCTAAAGTATATTTTATTGTTTGTAATCATATTACCAAGACTATAAGTTTTTAAAAAATACCTACAGGACCCACAAAACTGCTGACGTGGCGCGTTGTGGAGCCTAGAAAGTGTACTATTATAATATAGATTCAATTAATCAATCAAGTTAATGATCAAGAATAACAAATCCAAAACCGAATGCTATTAAAGTCAATGAGCCGACCACCAGCTCACATTGCACTGACCAAAACAACACGCGCTTTCGAAGTCTGAATCTCTCCAAAAATACGACATTTAATCCACACAAACACTGTAGCCGACTTAGTCGACTCACACGTCATTCTCTGACATTAGACCATCATCAACGCAGGTCCTTAGTGGGGTTTTTAAGAAAAATTAGGCATTTAATTAAATGGAAACAAAATTTAATTACTATAACCGATCCTTATTTGAAGATTTCGTGACCGATCACAAAGGAGGTCCTTAGACCACGTGTCAGCATAATGTCTTTTTAATTTTCCTCTTTCTCTCATCTTCTCTCTGTTATCCCGATTGATCCAAAGTCCAAAGAAAAAGAGATACTGTTGTTGTTGGCGAGCGAATGGCGATGGTTGGGCACCGTCCTCGTCGTGTTGATGTCACGGCGGTTCACATGGTACTCTTAATAATCAGCGATCTGTCAAGAGATAAGCATCTGTTTTCAGCTCTTTTTGCTGGGAAGTTAGATGTTTCAGATCTCTTTATCTTGATTTTAAGTTCGAAAGCATCGTTTAGTGGCAGTTTTAGTGAATCTTTAATCTTAGTTAGCTTCTATGTTATTCAGTTTCTGTATTAGTTGATTCTATCTAATTGAATCTGTTGTTTATTTTGGTCAGGTTTGTTTCTAACAATGTATTCAGAAACAAGTTGTTTCCCTGTAACACTCTGATCAGTGTTAATGTTTGGTTTCAGTATGGATGGAAGGACCACTTGGATTCGGTTTGCTTATGAGCTGCCGTATAACTCAAGCGTTTCAACATACTTCATATTTGTCAAGTAAGAAGAATAAATTTGAATAGTCCAGTCCTCTCTAGATTGTTTCAATAATGTTTCTTCATGATAATGTAGGAAACGTCTACCTCCTGTGAAATCATACACCTTTCTTCTCCTTGTTTTATTACTATGGATCATTATAGCTGCAAGTAAGACTTCTCTGTGGCATGGAAGCAAGCAAAACCTCCACCACAGACGGCAACCACAAGACTCTTGGTTAGTAAAATCTACTATAACCAAGTTATGCAAATTATGCTTCGCTTTAATTGATCTGTTTGGGGCTTAACGTGCAAGTTTCTGAAGGACTTGGGAGGTGCGTTGTGTGGTGAAGAAAAGCTCAAGCAAACTGGTAAAAGATGTTAACTTTAGTTCTGTATAAAGATGTTTCTTCATTTTATGTATAAACAAGTTATTGTTGGTTGTGTATTGTTCCTTTTCTTATGTCTATATGAGGTACATGGAACTAGTTGAGGCATGGAAGCCTCTACCACATACGGCAACCACTAATTCAGACTCGGTTAGTACATTCAACTGAGCTTGGAATCATTCTCTTGCCTTGGTTTTAATTGCTTTGTGGATAGTAGTTAGGTTTTAATAGATGCTTGTTAGAGGTAGGTTATGGTCAGGGAATATGCGCGTGATTAATGCCTCTGATGAATGCTTGTGATAGAGGCTGATAATGTTCTGTTTGATGTTATAATCTGATAAGTTTTATGGTTTGATGTTATAATTTTTTTTTTTTAAGAATCACTAATTAAGAAACTCCCATTGGACCACTCAAAATGGGAGTTTCTTAATTAGAGTTCTTAAGCCCACTAAGTACATTTATTTAATTAAACAATCATTAAGAAACTCACTTTAAGAGTCATGGGATAATCATGCTCTTAGTATCCTCTATAAATAGTATTCTTACACGAACTAACTCAACTCACTACAACTAGAAACAAATGTACAACCTATAGAACCATTTTAGTGTCAAATGTAATTTAGCATCAATTTTTTTCTTGTCTCCAACCACAACACTAAATATTTTTCATTATTATATTATAAATCATGATTCTTTAGTTTTAATAGTTTTGGTAAATATTAATTATTTGTATGACTAAAATTTTAATTTTAATTAAACTTTAATGTATTTTAGTTTTTATATTTTACATAAATTAATATTTCATGTTAATTGAAATTTAAATATAAAAAAATAACTATGAAATTTTAAAAATATTTAATCCAATTTAAAAATAATCTCAGAATTCAAAGGTAATCAAACATATATGAATAATGTGTAGAATAAACAATTTTGAGAAAAAAGAACTTTTGCCGTTTTCAACTGTAAGCAGTTGCATTTGCCGTTCCGTTGGAGTGAATAAACATCACATCACACGGTATTTTAGTGTTTTACCGTAGCGTTGGACTTGTCCTGGAACCCTAAAATATAAAAGTACAAGATGGGTTTGGTTAGATCAGTATGCTTAGTTATTACCTTCCTTGGCTATATAGCCATCTCGGTCCATGGACAAGCCACCGCAAGTAATGTGGAGATGATGGAAACAAGTCTTGTGATAGTTTGTTAACCAAACCGATATTTTTCAGCTATCAATTAACCAAAGATTTTCGATCATTAAAATTAACCGAATATAATAAAATTTGGTTAGGGTTTGTTTAAAGATTGAGAACCAACATTGATATATCTATATCTTCATTTATTTTCCAGAAATTGTTTTAAGTTTAATTGTTTTTGTATGTATGCATAGACACAAAATTATATCTTTCTCACCTTTGGATACATGTGGCCAGACGAGACGATACACGTTCGACCTTTACTTTATATAATGCGTATATATAATATATATATATATATATATATATATATATATATATATATCTAAAGAATGGTAAGTAAGATATTTTTTCTAATAAAACAGAAAAGAGAATATTACGTTTTGTATAAAAAGAAAGATATTTTTTTTAATAATGGTAAGTAGATATATTAATTGATCAATTGCATGCGTGACATCTGGCGAATCATCATTAATTGTTAATTGTCTGTGATTGCCCTTGACCTAATCCCTCACCAGTATTTATAAACGTCTCATTCCTGTAGAGTCTTATTTGAGAACCTTCTCTCTCCTTCTTATACCAGTTTATGAACGCCCTCTTCTATCATCGTTTCCTTTATGATTCTTCCATCAAGTCTATACATATTTTATTGTCTTATATATATATATATATATTTTTTATTTAGGATGATCGAGTTATATTCTTGTGATTTTATTGATTTACGTTCTGTTTAAAACTTTTTTTTTTCTAGTTTCCAATGACCAATCTAAAATCTGGATACTGGCGATTGATTTTGTACATACTGGTGGCCAGTATCACCGGATCTGTTAATTGGATTGGCACGGATTTGCATGATTTGTTTGTTTGGTCACACCCCTATAGATTCATTCTTTTATGTTTTGGTTATAAGGCTAATTTAGTTAGCCTGCTATCTAATTAAATTTACAAATCGAAGACAGTGATACCTGGATCCAATTTCACGTATCTGTCAATTGGTTTTTATATGCTGGTTTTATATCTATCTAATTTAACATATTTAGTTTCCATTTGCAAGTCTGAAGTGGATACTTGCCATTGGTTTTTTATATATGTGACCATCAAACTGGGATCCATCATTTTGTTTGTGTATTTTCTGTTTATCTACTTAATTCAGATTTTTTTTTGCTCTAGTTTCAAATTCATTTACTAATCTAATACTTGAATACAATACAAATAGTTTGTATATTTTGGTTTTTATTTGCCTGTTTCAACCTTTTGTTTTAGATTTCAATTACAAATTAATAAAAGATCTAGATACTAGCCATTGGTTTACTTATAACAAGTTCTTTCAATTTTTTTTTGTATTCATGCATATTCAAATTTTTTTGTTTTTTCATAAAANTAATCTAATACTTGAATACAATACAAATAGTTTGTATATTTTGGTTTTTATTTGCCTGTTTCAACCTTTTGTTTTAGATTTCAATTACAAATTAATAAAAGATCTAGATACTAGCCATTGGTTTACTTATAACAAGTTCTTTCAATTTTTTTTTGTATTCATGCATATTCAAATTTTTTTGTTTTTTCATAAAAACTTTGTTTCTATATTTTTTTTGGTTTTAGTTTCAAATTCATCTACTAATCTAGTATTTGAACATTTGTTTTTAGATTTCAATTACAAATCAAATCAAAGGTTTATATATTATTTACCTATAAGTTAATAACTACTTACTAAGGCCCCTGAGATTATGGCCCTTTTACAAACGGGCTTGAAATTGAAACCTGATATATAATCAGCTAGGGTTTCTAAGATATCTAGCAGATTAGATTTCTAGCGGTGAGAAAATTTCCCCTAGGGTTTTAGCTTCTTTCCTGTAACAGGCACAGAGAGAGATGAAAAAGAAGAAAGAAAAGGAGAGGAAATCTCCCGAAAGTTAGTTTTTCGATGTTTAAGATTTTTTTTTTTTGGTGATTGTTTTTTGGTGTTTAAATCTGTGTTGGTATCAGGTTCCTCTTCTACGGAGCATCTTGTGATAGAGAAGAAGAAGGATAAGGATCTGAAGAGTAAGAAGATGAAGACTGAGAGTAAATTTCTTTTGCTGTGTTTTGCTCTTTTGAGCTTGAATCTTTGTTTAATATTCCTTTTATCTTTTCAGGCTCTTCTCTCTCAGCACCCGAGGTAGAGAAGAAAAAGTTGAAAAAGGCTTCTGAGGAACCGGAAAGTAAGATTTATAGTTTATGGTAGTTTATGGTAGGAACTGGAAAGTGTGTATTTATAGTTTATGGTAGTGATCACGCTTCTTTTAATGTGTTTTGCTCACTCGAGATGACTTTTGTTTGTATTTATAGTTTTTTGTAGTGATCACGCTTCTTTAGTCATGTTCTGAACCTGACCTTTTGTGCAAGTAGTTATTTATTTGGGACTTGTTCTTTTTGTTCTGTTTCACAGGCTCGGAAAATCCTAAAATGGATAAGAAGAAAGAAAAGAACAAGTCCTCGGATAGTAAGCTTTTTTTGTTTAAGCTTAAGCTTAAATCTGTTTTTATTTATTGTTCTTTGATGTTTAAATCTCTTTGCGTATCTGTTTCTGTGTCATTATCAGGTTCCTCTTCGGAGCATCTTGTGATAGAGAAGAAGGATAAGGAGCGGAAGAGTAAGAAGATGAATGCTGAGAGTAAGTTTCTTTTGCTGTGTTTTGCTCATTCGAG